GAAATATACATACTGCATGTAGTTCAACGGTAAATGTGGCTTACTACCTTCTAGGGACCCGTTAGACAATTGAGTGATCTTCCACTACCTTAACTAGCCAATCATAGCACGGAGTAAAATTGGAATATACTGAATTCTAAAACAAAAATATTCAAAAATAAATAATAAATTATAAAATAAATTATAAATCCTAGTAAAGGATATAGAGTGAGTTTTATATTGCGAATAAGATTCAAATGGTGTTCCTGTAAGCTCCAAGAGCATGTATTTAAAAGAATACATTAAAAGTAAATCGTTCGTTTATTTTCAATCAAGGTAAAAATTAATTTTCTAAGTGTGATGCCAGTATCAATTCTACCAAATCCATTATTTATGAACTTGTTCAACGTTTTTGGAAACTGGATGTATAGAACATACAATATATGAGCTTACGAAAACACCATGTCTTATTCATAATTGACTTATTCACAATTCCCAATTCATAAAGTGATTAAGTTGGTAACAATGCATATCAACTAATCAGCAATTAAAGGAAATGGCTACCCACTTATGAGCTTGTTTTGTCCTTAAACAGTGTTTCTTGGTACTTATAATTTGAGTTGCGTATAAAATGCCCCCTACACAGTTTGAGTATTTAACTTAGCATACATGCTTTGGGCATACGTTGGTGAACAAACTCATCTTAAAAACCTATAAACCGTTTTCCACCTGATCAAGAAAAATACAATCTTAAATTAACTTTATTAAAATGATACTATAATTTTATATACCATCTTTAAACTAAATAATATTTTTTCACTACCTATAAACGTTTACATTCCCACAGTTCCTTCAGCCTTGTACTTGGATGGGTTATAAAGGTGATTGAAATTTTCATTACCAGGTAACGGATCAGCGTTTCCACTACATTTGCCTTCCTGGAGATGGGGATTTAGTCACATGAATAATGGTTATTGAAGTATCATGTTCTTGCTTTAGCGCTATTATAACTTGGGCTATTATTTATGAATAATTATGTTAGGTTTTCCACTTTTTATTGATTGAAAGTAATATGGGAAGGTAAAGAAAGTTAGATTTTATATAAAATATTCATTAATATGGATAAGCAATTATAATTGACGATATTTAGATTAATAGCATGAGTATCTAAGGTTTCGCTTCTGTACGTTTTCGTTACGATTCTGGAGATACTATACTAATGGCGTTAATCATGCTTCCAAACTACGAATAGAAGTTTTACAGTAACAAAGCAATAGGTCAAATAAATTCCTATTCCATGAATGGTATATATTCGCATTCAGTTTATATAAGCTCAGAAATTCGTTTATACTGTTCAGTGTTCATTGCCATTTTCCCTTGGATTTTAAAAATATAAAAGAAATGCAAATTTTAATGAATTTAATAACGTCAAAGGTATTTTAAGTAAAAGTTAGGACATTGGACCATAAATGTAAAAAGGTAAGCAATTGAATATATACATTAATAAAATTGGTTAAATGAAAAATAAAATCCGGTTTAATGGCACGATTAGTTATTGTTAAATCTTTTTAAACCCGTTAGGGGAAATTGAAAATCAATGATTTTACAGAATTACTCTTGGTACACCTTTTAAGTTATTTAAAAAAATTATGAAGTTGGCAGTTCTAAATAACCATGTGAATGCATATCAAGTACACCCATCTCTATAGATGACGTTATAGTAAAATTAATTGGTGGATGATATAAAAAATTAGGATGTTACAAAAAAATTAAAAAAGATCAGAACACTTAAGTTTAAGAAGGTTTCATTTAGGGTTAAGAAATGCGACTCTAAATAAAAATAAATAATATGGTATCTCTGAGCCTAATGTTTTTTTTAATATAATTAAAATAGTTTCTTTTATAAAAGGATATTTATTACTATTTAAGTACTGATACTCTTATTGAAACATACGAGTCAACACACTGATTATAAGCTATAGACTTCAGTTGTAGTATTTTTGACAAATAATGTAGGCCTATACTCTGGATACTAACCGCTTAAATGTGTCCAGACATAATTAAATTCCTGCGTGTTTGTAATAGTGGATTATATTTACACCCTATCTTTCCTGGAATTATTTCAATTACATGAGAACTCTTCCTAATGTAATTTAAAGGTTTTTTTTACTTTAGGGACGTTTGGGTAATTATAAAGTTTGGTTCGTAAATTCAAAACGTTCCAAATTAACATGACTATGACCAGGGATCAGATTAGTTGTTTATTCGTATTGTACAAATGTAATTAAAAAACATATTTAGGGGAAATCTTAAGATGAAAGGTAATGCTTAGGGCAAAAAAATAGGTTTAAATACTTAGTATTTAACCTTTCAATAATTAGGGTTCTCGTTCCTGTTTGACTAAATAAAATTGAATATTAAGTAAAAATAGTAATTAAATTAGTTTTTTAGTCTTTGCTTTGTAGAAATTTTCTTTTTTAGCATTATTCATACAAGACAAAACAACCGGTTAAATACTGTAGAAGAAGTACCAGTTACAAAAGTAGATGGTCGGCGTAAAAGAATATTTTTTCGAACAACACCATGAAAGTTTAGAATAATGTATACTCATTTACAATTATAATTGAAGTGTTGGTGGAATTCCTGGTCCAATAATAAAATATTACTCGTTTGGACTGTAGAACTTATATATTTTAGCATCAATTCTCAAGTGATTATAAAGTTTATTTTGTCCAAATATATTCAACACACATAAGTGATTGTTCAAACAATTTAAAGATTGTTCATTAGTATGTTAGTTGAAGTAAATATGCGTACTTTAAATAATGGAAAACGATAAGGTGTTTGTATTCGTTATCATTTAACTTAAAAATTAAATTTGACCCTCTATTGTTACATTAAGCAAACCCCCATTCGTTCGAGTACAAATTTTTACAGATAATTATTTTTTTGAAAATATTATTAAACAATGAAAAATATTTAATATCAGGTTCATTATAGTTTTTTGCTGTTCTGAATTTACAAAACATCGTAAGCTATTTGTACGAAACAAACACAGTTACAGCGTAATGACCAGGGGGTTTGAAATATCTCTGACTCGACAAGAAACTGAGCAAAACCAGAAATAGCTTGGACGACCACAGGGCCAATGCTTCAATTAAATGAGAATATTAATACTATTCATTTTATGTATACCAACTTGACTATGGTCAAATGGAGTTACAAGTTTCATTTCAGGAATTGTACTAATTCATTTTCAGGAATTCATTTTTATTAAGCTAGCTAAATAAAAGAATGTTTATAAATTGTTTGTAAAATCACAATAATAAATTATTGAGTTTTTTATAGTGCTTCCTATCCAGAATAAGGTTTATTTTTATTTAGGTACTACTTTTATGTAAGGACGGGCTACTATAGGTATTGATTTGTGAGTCTTGGTAAAAAATTGATTATTTATTTCACTGCAATATGAAAAGTTAATCAAATCTTTCTAAAGCTATGTTGTAAAATATTTTCTTATAATTTCAATACTTTACGAATAGAGTCAAATGCACTTTTAATGGTTTTATCATTACGAAAAAATTATATACACGAGATTAAAGAACTTAAACAAATTATTTCATTGCTGCAACACATAATACCAATGTGTTTCAAAGTCCGATAAGTTCGCAGGCGATGGAGGGGATTATTCTCACAGAGAAGCTCTAAACCCTCCTGTCTTCAAGTGATCCTGGTCTTGTATTGCAAACCTTCTTTGTATATCTGATATCAAAAAGATATAGAGAAATCACTAGCTTTTATCTCAAACTTTTGATTCCCAGATCATTGAGTAAATTATATTTATATATACGTATATGGCTCATAACTTTCAAAAAGTCACCAATTCATTTCTTAACATTTTTTGGGTTTTTTTTTTCTAATATTAATCACAATAAATTAGGTCGTTCAAAAGTAATTGCATTTATTAAAATCGACTATTTTGCCAAATATAAACTTATTAGCTTACAGTATTACGATCACTTAGCATTAACTTCCTCCATGATTATTATTTATTGCTATTAGCAGATTTGTATTACAGTGCAACACTTAGAGTAAAATAACAGATATTTCTGCATTTATCTTGATCCTACCCCAAGGACATAAGAGTTGATCTAAATATAAGAATAAAATTAAATATTAAAATTTGCATTTACCAAGTAATGTTTTAATGAATTGTATTACAACAGTGTCGAAAATCAATAGGTTGTTCTAGCACAAAATTAATATATCTCATACTGACTTCTAGCACATTCAAATTACAAAAATAACAACTAACATTACATGTAATATAACAAAAAAATTGGTTTCATTCTTCTTGTAAAACGTTTTAACGAATTAAATATTTAACTACTTTTGATGACCTCTGATGACAGTTAATTTATTTTACTATTGAACATTGTGATTGCCGGGATTCTGTACCATTGTGACAGACTGCACTTGCATCCTGAACGATATAGTTCTACCATTCAGCTGAGTTGTATACAATGCATTGTGCTGTTGTGTTATTAGAAGAGAACAAATCCAGCTTTCTTTTCAATCGTTGTTCCACGTTGTCATTGTTAGCAGAAAACAAACGTTTAATGACTCTCAGGGGCTGTTTTTGTTTGTTCGTTTTTGCAAAGTAAGCGCAAATGTTCATACCAGCATTCAAATTGCCTTAAGGTATTACAAGTTTTGTAATAAGTTCAAAAATGGTCTTTGAAAATTGCTATTAGTATGTAGCTTACACTTAACGTCTTATAATTTTGTTATTTATTAAATTCAGTCTAAAAGCAGTAAATATTTTGCGACATTTTTGATAATATACGAGTAATGTTAAATATGCAAGAACATCATTTTAAATTTTGTTGACTCCTTTATTCATCATTTTTAGTGGTTCTAAGATAGAATATTTGTTATTGAAAATATACTTATTCAAAGGAGGTTTCTTTACTAGAATGATTACATGTTCAAATTTACAAAGTTAAAAATTCGAGTTGACTGGCCGTAATGGTTTTCTTTAAACACACGTCACTCGCACAACGATTCGGGGTCAGTAATATTTACATTACATCTTCAAGTCTTGTTTATTCTGTCGACCAAAAACTGTACCAAAGGTTTATAAAGAATTTGCTTCACATTTTCATGGTAGAAATAATCCAGATGTTGAAACTCCTTGACTTCTTCATGGAAAAGTATTTTGGGTGTCTTCGGAAGCTCCTTGGCCAACCACTCAACATCCTACAAATATAAAATTCATTCACTGTTGAACTATTTTATTATTTCATTTTCCCAATATACAGGATGATTGATATAAGTGTGCCAGCCGTTTTATTCGAAAACCATAAGAGATTTCAAAAAAAGTTAAATGGTAAGTGCCTTGGACTTTTTATTCAAAAAATTGTAGTAAAGTCGAAAAAAATATTTTAGCCGCCATTTTTCCAATATGGCCGCCAACTTTGATTTTTCTTATGAAACACCCTGTATTTTATGATGTATTCTGGTAGAAAATGTAATTTTAAGACGATTTTATTCTTGTGATTTTTTCCATAAACCTAATTCTTTCAAAGATAATAATGGTTTAAGTTGTGAAATTTTGAATGGTTTTCGAATAAAACAGCTGGCAAGCTTGCTTAGGCCTTTATCGAAACTCTTTCTCGTGCAGAAATTTCAAAACTTTAACCATTATTATCGTTAAAACGGTTAGGTTTATGAAAAAAATCACAAGAATAAAATCGTCTTAAAATTACATTTTCTACCAGAATACATCAGGGTGTTCATAAAATACAGCCTGCATTTTCATAAAATACAGGGTGTTCCACAAGAAAAATCAAAGTTGGCGGCCATATTGAAAAATGGCGGCTAAAATATATTTTTTGACTTGACTACAATTTTTTTAATAAAAAATCCAGGGCACTTACCATTTAACTTTTTTTGATATCTCTTATAGTTTTCGAATAAAACGGCTGGCACACTTATATCAATCACCCTGTATAGTTATTACATTTTAAGGTACATACAAAACAAAAACCCATTATTGTAAAGGGTAGCAAAAATTAAATCGGTGTGGTAAGAGACATAAACAGACAAAACTCTTATGTTTATGAATTATAAAAAGAAAAGAAAACCAAGTTCGTTAATAATTACAAAACAAAGGCCACATACTGTTGAGTATCACAAAGGCTGTAGAAAGGTAATTCTTGAAGACAATTCATATTTTTCTTCTTTTGTAATTTCTGTTTACGCCATGTTGATTTTATTGAATTAAAAAAAAATAGTAAACCTGTGTTATGCATGTTATTTTTGTGAGTAACAAAGGTTTTGGAGCCAAAACTTTTTCTATTTTACATTAGAGGTTATTGACTTGTGTATATTTTTTTTACAAAAGAATGATTAGTTTGTACCTCTTTTACAGAAAACTCATCTACATCACTGGTAATGAGGAAGACTGGACATGTAACCTTCCTCAGATCATAAGCTGGAGGTAACAATTTTTTGTAGTGCAACAGGTTTTCTTCATCTCCATAGTCAAACTGTTGGAATCTTGCTGGAAAAAGACGATAAGAACAAACCTATATGTTTATACAATCAATTGTACAATCATACATTCGTTACTGCCAGTTAGTAAACTTTTAGACGAATTTACAGATGTTTTGCATATAATCTTATCTTTACATCTTCATAAAACAGGAAAATTATCTCAATTCGTTATAGAAATACCAATTACGTTATTAGTTTAAGGTTTGTGAAAGGACCTCAAAGTATTTTTTTTTACAACTTCATAAATCTAAAGAAAAATTTTTAAATTTCTGAATTTAATTAATATGTATTGCTAGAATGTTTGCAGCAATTATTTATTCCCTACATTAATGTAATGAAGTACTACATAAAGTACTTCTTGCTAGACTATGAGCAGTAAAACCGAATAGTTAATTGTATAGCTTTGATTAAATTGCTCCCTTACTGAAGTCAGATCGAAGGGTGAAAATCTTTCTCAAATGTTTTTGTGAAACATAACATTGCCATACAACTAATGTTTATCTTGTAAATTGAAAAATGTATAAATTGAAATAGTTAATTTCTACTGACCTTTTTCTCCAATTTGAAGAAAGTGTACAATATTCTTGATTGACGTTCCAGCAGGCATGTATTGAGTGGCTACGTAGGTGTCCTCCTGTAATATGTAAGTTAAAAGGGTAATTTATGGCTAATGTGTATAAAAATTAAACGAATAATAATGTAAAAATGTATGTTTAAGACTAAATATGTGTTGAATGATTTTGACAAATGTTACTATGTTGATATATCTAATCTTATTATATCAGACTCATGCCATGAATGTGAAAGGTTGGGTGGTTTTTTTAGTATCTAACGTAGACAGACACCAACGTTCAAATTAATATTTTGAGCTATATTTTGCAGGAATGTACATATGGACATTGACTTGTTTTAATTTTGAAATTTTCCTAGAGTTCCACCCGAATGGCCATAAAAGTAGCCATGTTTATCTTAAGAATGCACTTAGTTTTAGAATTACCAAATTAGTTTAAACTAGGGTGTTTTATTTACATTAAGGAGATTTGTGTTATTGAAAATAAGGGGTTAGGTTTCACTAACGAAAGTGCTAACCATATTTTTTTCTGAAATTATTACAATGAACTAATGTTACCAAACTAAGTGGTAGTTTCGTTTCTAACACGAATGATGAACACGTATTTCGCACAGGAGATCCAAAGATACACATTATTTTATTTCACTCCTTGTTCTCTTCCCGTTGCGAAACTCGGGTGATTTTGTTTTTGTTTTTAAGAAGTTGGTGGCCTTTTTTAACCCACATGGGCTATTGACATGTGCGCGGAACGTATCCAGCAAAGCTAGGGGTATGCCAGTACAGTACAAGGGTGAGATGTACTGATAATGTAGTGGCAGTGACCAGGATCCGAACCCACGACATCGCTGCCTTAGGCCTAATGTCCGTGACGCTACCGACTGAGCCACGGACTCACCAAAAACTATACAAAACCAAATTAATTTAAGTGACGGCTAGTTGCACATAAATTGAAAATGGTCGAATACATTTAATAAGCTGTGTGTCAAAATAGTTAATTATTTTGACATTGTCTCTGCTTAGTTGTTGTATGATTTAAAACTCTTTCGTTTTAACTTTTGTTTGGAGTATGTATTTGTAGGTGTTTTGAAAAGATTTTATATACACATTATTTATTAAAACATATTTACTAATTACTAGCAGTTATTTCTTATGGCTAGTATTACTGTATAGTAGGCCTAGATTAAATTAACACTGCAATAATCTTACACACGAGGGTGTATTTTAAGGGGATGACAAAAGATAAATGTTAAATTTATGAGGCCAGCTTCGTTACTAATATCAACTTACAATGTAGCCAGAACAGTTAAAGACAAATTACTAGGGATAGCTAATTTGATTACAATAGCAATCTATTTTTTTTAATAAAAGTAATTTCAAAACCATACCTACCCTGTGTATTGAGTCAGGAAACAGTCCCACAAGGCCAGACAACATCTTGCCACAAGCTTTGGTCGTCAAGTCATTTGTACATAAAGCTCTCAAGAAAAGCCCTTCCGCTTTGTTGTAGGATCGAACCTCGTACAAGTGCAGTGTGTTGTAGGTCAGCTGGAAAGATATCAGTTACTTGCGTAAATACAGGGTCGATATCTGTTTAATATCAATTAATTATTTGTTATCATTATTTTAATTTAATTGCCAATTAAGAAGGAGGATGGTAGATGCGTATTTTAACCCAAGGATGGGTGTAGAATGGAGTGAGATACTAGTTATTTCATTACCCGAGACAATGTATTAAAAACTCATTGATCAAGATTAGCTGAGTCCAACCATCCTAAAAATTCCCACTTCGCTTGGGATTGACCTGGTGGCCTTTTGATTACTAGGTGAGTACTATAACCGCTCAGCTGCCCTGTTAAATCGATACAAATTTCTTCTGGTTTTCTAGTAATTCATCCTTGGGAGAGTAGAGGATGGCCAGTTTTATGTGGTTATTCCAGGAAAATCCGAAATAATTTGAACCCATAAATCCACGACACCTAGGTTATTTCTAAAATAAAAACAGCACAGAGATCAGCTTGTGAAGGCTTTAGATAGGCAGGTATTTTGTGATAAACAAAAGAGCAATTTTTGATCAGACGTTACCTTACATAGGTCTTATTTCCAAAACATTACCGAAGAGAGTATTGAGCTGGACTAGGGGTACAGCGCATGGTTTTGTCCCTGAGGTCTCGGGTTCAAAACCCGCCTATCGCCAATGGGTTTTATCTACTGATAATACCGCAATAGCATAGGGCTAGCGTGAATTGATTTGTAAAACGGTTCTGCGCTAGAGCCTATCGTCCTAGGATGTGAAGATGTGAAGAAAGGATTGAAGGGCCCCCCCTTCAATCCTTCACAAATTCGGTCACAAGGGTTCCAAGTTCAAATTATGTTAGTTACCAAAGGTCGTATCTAGTTTATAATTGTCCCACTAAGCCTAGTCTGCAGTAATGTATGAAACAGTTCCAGACTAGAACCTAACCTAGCATAGTATGTGAAGGTAAGACATAAAAATGTATTACAGGAACAAACTTACTAATGCAGTTGTAAGAGCTGAGTATATAGCTGGCTTTTGGAGGATGCTCATCCCACTAGGTCTTGCTATTGGAGCTATGGCCACCATAGTGTCTATGCGGTCCATGTACTCTTTACCATAACTATCGGCCAACACCCAGAACATGGTGGTCCCCATAGAGAAGCCTACGTAGCTGAGGGACTGTCGTTGTGTCACAGACAGGATGTGTACGATGGCTATTGATAGGTCCTTCTCTCCCATCTCGTGGAAACTGTAAAGGATTTAGACTTATCAAAATATGAATTGCTTGATAGGCTATATAGGAATAGGTTGTTTATATGAATGGTCGCTCAGTTGTGAGGTTCATCCACAATTGTGTAAGCTCAGGAGTTGGAACTTAACTTAATGGTAAATAACTCTTTACAAAACACATTTAAACTCAACCTAACCTAGAGTACAGAGGTTAACGATTGCAAAAGGCGATTACGAGGACAATAGGATGTGTATGGCTAATTACTGGAATAAAACTCCCAATTATAAATCAATACTTAAGATTTCTTGGAGCCTACCGTTCTAACTCATAAAACAATCAAAAACTACACAAAAAGTTTTCTAATCTCACAGTGCATTTGATATTAAAATTACAATCTCTTTGGTATTTGGAAAGATATTTTGAGATGGTAAATAACTCTTCAGCGGCTGTTTGAAATTAACAAAAAACATTGGAAAACAGTTCAAAACTACAAAGAACATTTCTTATCTCGCACTGTACTAGATATTTAAATTATAATCAATTATGAGTTCAATGAAATATTTTTTCATGATAATTAACCCTTCAGCAACTGTTTGAAATAATCCAAGATGGCCGCTAGCCTCTAGGGAATTTTACCGATTCAAAAGTCTTTTAACTTATTATTTTCTGGTCCAAAGGCTATCTTGACATCAAACAGTGACGCAACCTTAACATTTTCATGGCCAAGTTAGTAAGGTTTGAATATGAGTTAGTGAAGGATTTGGTTGTTTGATGCACCGATAGTGATGTCTTGCCTGTGCCTTACGATTCGTTTGCTAGGGGTTTTTATTACAAGCCCAACGATTAAACAACAGCTAAGTCCAGTTTGACACTATCAAAAAGTATCTAATTATTTCTCTGTATCAAACTACAATATTTACAAGGAATAGTAAAGGTCAAGGATCCCAGTCGGTTACGCTATGTTTCTTAGGAACTCATTTCACGTAGATCACACTAAGACAAAAGCAATCGTAATACGAAAAGTAGCAAATTAAAGATATACTAGGTGGCGTTCGCAGAGGCATCCACAAAATTTAGCGGAGTCATCAAGGGTTCATATTATATTGTTTTTGTCTTACTGCAGTAAAAACAGTATTTTTTCATGCATGCGCTGCGGGTCTAAAGTAGCATTTTTAATATTTAGGGAGTAAAAATCGTTTTTAGCCTCTATGGAGTAAAAATCAGCTGTTGTCAACTCAGTTGTAAATTTCGATTGTAAACGATTGCATGTATCGAAAATATGTATCGGTTTGTGCTTCGTAATAATTTTAACATATTACAGTCTACAGTCTCTTCCCGTAGCATTTTAGCATTGCAGATACATTAATCCATTCCCAAACTCAACACTGCTCACCTTTACTACTTCCTTCACCACACCCTACGTCGTGGACCTGTTTCCCTCTCTTCCCATAGCATTTTAGGATTGCAGATACATTAATTTAATTGCCAAAGACAGTTCCCACACTCTGCGCTGTTAGCCTTACTACTTCCTTCACCATTTACTACGTCATTGGCCTGTTTCCTTCCTTTCTCATAGCATTTAAGGATTACAAATTCATTTATCCATCTGCTCAAACGGTTCCCCCACTCTGCACTGCCAGCTTTTACTACTTCCTTCACCACTTACGTCGTGGACCTGTAATCATCGCTTTCCATAGCATTTTAGTATTTTAGATACGTTAATCTAATTGCAACAAACATCCCCACTGTCCGTACTGCTAGACTTTACTACTTCTTTCACAATTTCCTATGTCTTGGGCATGCTTCCATCCCTTCTCATAGCATTTCAGCATTGCAGATACATTAAAACTGCTACAAACGGTTTCCAGTTCCCACACTCCACACTGCTCACCTTACTACTTCTTTCACCTGTTTCTACGTCGCGGATCTGTTTCCCTCTCTTCCCATAGCATTTTAAGATTGCAGATACCTGAATCTAATCGTCATAAACAGATCCCACACTCCGAACAGCTCGCCTTTACTACTTCCTTCGCCACTTCCCACATCGCGGACCTGTTTCCCTCCCTTTCCGTAGCATTTTAGGAACGTTGTGACCTTAATCTAATCGTCATAAACAGTTTCCATACTCCAGACTGTTCACCTTTACTACTTCCTTAACCTCTTCATACGTCACGAACCTCAAGCTAGTGTCGTCATTTGATTATAGTACCTGGGGACCGAGCTTTGCTCGGGGAAAATCATTAGTTCACTCTGAAAGCACCGTAGTATTGGAGATGCATAAATCCACACATCTACATCCTACACAATTTCCTACGTCATGGATCTGTTTCCCTCCATTCCATTGCATTTAAAGATTGCAGATACCTTAATCTAATCGTCATAAACAGTTCCCACACTCCGGACTACTCGCCTTGACTACTTCCTTCACCACTTCCTACGTCGCGGACCTGTTTTCCTCCCTTCCCATAGCATTAGGATTGCAAATACCTTAATCTAATCGTCATAAACAGTTCCCACACTCCGGGCAGCTCACCTTGACTACTTCCTTCATCACTTCCTACGTTGCTGACCTGTTTTCCCCCCTTCCCGTAGCATTTTAGGTTTGCTGATACCATAATCTAATTGTCATAAACATTTCAAACACTCCGGACAACTCGCCTAGACTACTTCCTTCACCACTTCCTACGTCGCGGACCTATTTTCCTCCCTTTCCATAGCATTTTAGAATTGCAAATACCTTAATCTAATCGTCATAAACAGTCCCCACACTCCGGACAGCTCACCTTGACTACTTCCTTCATCACTTCCTACGTCGCGGACCTGTTTTCCTCCCTTCCCGTAGCATTTTAGGTTTGCTGATACCTTAATCTAATTGTCATAAACATTTCCAACACTCCGCACAACTCGCCTAGACTACTTCCTTCACCACTTCCTACGTCGCGGACCTATTTAGGAAAATAGGTCCGCGACGTAGGAAGTGGTGAAGGAAGTAGTAAATGCGAGCAGTCCGGAGTGCCTTAATCTAACCTTAATCTAGGACCTTAATCTAATCATCATAAACAGTTCCCACGCTCCAGACAGCTCGCCTTGACTACTTCCTTCACCACTTCTTACGTCACGGACCTGTTTCCCTCCCTTCCCATAGCATTTTAGGATTGCCCATACCCTTATCTAATCGCCATAAACAGTTCCCTCACTCCTGACAGCTCGCCTTGACTACTTCCTTCACCACTTCCTACGTCGCGGACCTGTTTCCCTCCCTTCCTATTGCACTTAAAGATTGCAGATACCTTATTCTAATCGTCATAAACAGTTCCCGCACTCCGGACTACTCGCCTTGACTACATCCTTCACCACTTCCTACGTCGCGGACCTGTTTTCCTCCCTTCCCATAGCATTTTAGAATTGCAGATACCCTAATCTTATCGTCATAAACAGTCCCCACACTCCGGACTGCTCGCATTTACTACTTCCTTCATCACTTCCTACGTCACGGACCTGTTTCCCTCTATTCCCATAGCATTTTATGATTGCCTATACTACTTCCTTCACTACTTCCTACGTCACGGACCTGTTTCCTTCCCTTCCCATAGCATTTTAGGATTGCAGATACCTTAATGTATTCGTCATAAACAGATCCTAGACTTCGCACTGCTACCCTTGACTACAATGTATCGAGTAATCTTAAGTATAATCTTTGCTCAATATTAACAAGTGATGTTTTTCCTTTTGTACTGTATTTGTAATTTCCTAGTATACTGTGGGTAGTTGGCTTATTATGAGCACATGCTAAAACTTCAAATCTTTTGTTTACTTTTTACTTGTTATTTAATTCAGCCAACATGGTTACCTAGCAACCCATTAAGACTAATGTTAAAAAAATGTGATTTTCAGTTTCATTTTTCTACGGATTCCTGAGAGACTTTTTTAACGCTATATAGATGTTGGCACTCACCGATATGGTCTTTGTCACCATGCAAAATTTGAAAACGATTGATTCAGCCGTCTAGGAGGAGTTTGCGTATTACGAAATGCATAAAAGTCGACGTATAAGAGCTTCGCTCGCTTCGCTCGCTCCGCTCAATAAAAGTAACTTTTAGACTCGAGCCCAAGTCTAACGACCAAATACAAATTTAGGAAAATCAGTTAAGGTCTAAAAGACACTTTTGCTTGTGCGATGAGCAATATGTTTTTCCTACAGTTACCTAACAATGTAGTACATGTTCTCTCACTGATTTGAGAAAGCAAAGTGGCCAATTCGCTCATCAGTGAGACAATGTTAACATTGTCTCACTCTAATTACTTTACTAATTACGGTACTTTGTCCAGATTTGCAACGTGAAGGCACGAAATAGTGAGCGCGTAACATGCAGACAAGGTCGTATGTGCGCGCAAAATACGTTGGCAGCACTGGCTGTAAATCAGCTGGTCAGCTGTTGTACTGTTGTATCATTAAATGCCATATTAAAAGTTGACTTCTGTGTTAAATATGTTAAATTTCTTTACCAATTTATTTTTTTATGGTAACTGTGGGAAAAATATAATGTGCAACTCGAGTGCAAAGTGCAATTGCCTCACTCGAGAAACCATTCCTCACTCGCCTACGGCTCGTGAGTAAGTATTTCTCTCGAGTGAGTCAATTGCTCACTTTGCTCACTAGTTGTATAAATAACTATTTCCTACAGTCACCTGACAAAGTGGCCTTCCTTGCACTGATTATAGTACAGAAAGCTGTTAATTGCCGCATCTACTTACTTTTGCCGCACACTTTTTTACTTTATCGCACACTTTTTTGCCACACATCAGTATTCCCACTAAACAACACAAAACAGCGTGCTTTTATTAGACACGTAATACGTGTACGCTTGAAAATAATTTGGCAACACTTAAAGGTACAATGACTACGATCAGCTGATGCAGTGTTTCTCATATTGTTCAACGCTTGGATTTAACCTAACCTAAAAACGTGCTGTGTAGTGTTTGGAAGGCTAATTATTTCTGTGCTTTATAGTAACTGT